CACACACACACACACAGTACACATATAAACACTATTTTAAGGAGTTTATTATAAATTTTTTAATTATTTTTTTAATTTTAGTTTAATTGCTGGCAGAATAAGATCTTTACAGTCATCCTCATTAGAACTTTATTTCATGTGGTAGAAATGAAACATTTGAGTTGCTTTTATTTACATTAAAGGGGTCATATGATGCGATTTCATTTTTTCCTTTCTCTTTAGAGTGTTACAAGCTCTTGGTGCATAAAGAAGATCTGTAAAGTTGCAAAGACTAAAGTCTCAAATCCAAAGAGATATTATTTATAAAAGTTAAGAGTTAGCCAGTTTCAAAAAGGCGGGGCATAGAGGAGAAACAATAATGCACAGTATGTGGAAAAAATGTGTTTTTTTAACTTTAAACCGCATAAACACATTTCATTACACCAAATACACAAAATAATGTTATTTTTAGCAGCATCATATGACCCCTTTAAAGTAGGCCTACCAGACGCATGTTTTTCCCTGTTGTTTCTATCCACTCCTTTATACTGCAATGCAATGCAATGCAGTGGCCGGAGACGCGTAGCGCGTGCGTGATGATGTGAGGAGTGACGCCACGGCGCATCAAAGGCACGAGGCTGACAGAGCCCGAACCGAAGCAGCAACGGCAGGGACAGGTAGAGACGCACCGAGCCCCGCAGACGCGCCAGTGCACCGAATCCTGCGAAAAAAAAGATGCTCCAGTTCGGCGGCAGGGTGCGCGGTGTTCCCGCGCTCGTCTCCCTGATTCTGGTGGCGTTGGCGGCGGCATCATCTGATCTGTTTGACAACCAACTGGGCGATATCAATTACTGCAAAAAGCAATGCCAGATGTCCATCAAAAACAAAAGCCCCGCCAAAGTAAGTGTCACGTACCAGATGCTTCTGCAGTATATAACGGCCTGTGGAAAAATGCATTTTATAGGATTTTGCGTTTACTAGTAGTGGTTCATCAGAGTCGCAGCCATTTGCAGATGTAAATAAATAAAGTCGTTTTGCAAATGAAAATCGCTATAGAGAACGTAGCGAGATGAAATCCAACGTTCATTTTGACACAAAACTGTTCTGCGCAAAGACACTGCGCAAAGATGGGAGCATTATTTGGCAGCACCTCGAGCCAATTCGTAATCGATTCATGGATTTCTGTGTCCCAGTTACTGGCACCGCAAGGGAAACGTTACTTTGTATCCACCAAGAACAGGCCGAGAATGATGCTTTATGACGCATGAATTTAACGGTCAATGTGTAGATTTTGTCTGGCCGTGTCTGTTATTCTCATGTGTTTAAACCGCAACGAACGTTCTACGTGCTAAATGCGCAAAACGGAGCGCGGCAATGGAAGCACGCGAGCGCATCTCTTTTGTTTGATGGGGGCCCATAAACGCTTGTAAAGACGTGGGTTGGTATTTGCTTGATATCCGAGGGCGACGTCGTTTATCTTTTATATAATGTGAAGGAATTGTTTTTAAAAAATATATTCAGAAGCTGAGATCCTTATTTTCCTTAACAGCCCGCATCATTTTGCCCTAGAGGTGGTTCGTCTGGATGAGAATGGATTTTAACGATTATTATTCTCATCAATTCTAGCTTTAACTGCCCTTAAAAACAAATGAGTTAATTTGTTATAAACAGAACAGATATAACAAATAAACAGTTTAATTTGAGCATTGGAAAAGGTGTGTTAAATAGACTTTTATTGACTTTTCTCACATACTTTTTTAGAGACCTTTAAAGGGGTCATATGATGCGATTTCAATTTTCCTTTCTCTTTGGAGTGTTACAAGCTCTTGGTGCATAAAGAAGATCTGTAAAGTTGCAAAGACTAAAGTCTCAAATCCAAAGAGATATTCTTTATAAAAGTTAAGAGTCAGCCACACCTACCTAAAACGCCTCGTTCTAACACGCCCCCACATATCTACATCACTATGTGGAAATATTAGCATAATGCCACCCAAATGTTCATGCAAAGAAATGATCTTTAAAATAGCATCATATGACCCCTTTAAATGTAACTTTCATTCATTATTTTTTTATAGAATGGCATTGATTACACCAAAGCTCACGATGAAAAGAATCATAATTTATTTCAAGTGGAACATAACGAAAATAATAAATGTATTGGTCTTGCAATTCAATAACTGCTTCAACTAATTCAGAAGTATTTTTGATCCACTAAAGATAACTGTTTTTTGAGAATCATTAAATCTTTTGAAAATCCGACTACACGGGTTGCGCTGTATATTTTTAATTCACTGAAAAGGACAGGCTCATAGGAATCATTTGTCCAGGAGTTGAAAAAATAGAACCGATGAAACTTCCCATCTGTATTCGTTCGCGAACACATCATTTATTTGTTTATCTAAGAAAATCTAATCACATCTCGATGATTTTTCAGGTGATAGAGTGATTCCAGAACTCACTCATGACCCAAAAAGACTCAGTTGTCACCAACTACTAGAGTAACAATTCAACTTGTCAAAAGATTCACTAGAGAACTGATTCAAAATATTTCAGTGGCAAAGATGAATCAAAATCCATACCATTTCTGTTTTCAATCCATGTTTTATTATTGACAAAATACCTTATCAAGATGTGTTGTTGCTGAAATACATCTGAGCTTTATTCTTGTAATTACGGTATTTATTGTAGATGATTTATTTAATGATTTCATTGTTTTAATTGGTTAACCTCAACAAATGTAATATAAACCTATAATATATACATTTTATGCTGCTGATACTGAAGGTCACTGCAGGGTTGGGTGACTTCTGTTACTCTAAAGGTCATGAATTGACCTTACATGGGTTTGAATCACCACACTTTGCCCTTGCATCTTCAAACCTCAACCAGTGCTCTGCTGTCTCCACCGATAATCAATCCTCGATTCTGATGTGCCATTCAGAAAACCGTGTGCATGTCACATCTTGCATAATGATTTTTTTAGGAACTCATGTTGGATACTCTATAAAACATCCTTTGAGAACACCTCCATGTGACCACCACATCCCTCTGGATAAAAACATATGAACATCTATTAGAGTGATTCTTGGAGTTACATATATCACTGTACAAAAAGATTTATTCTGAATGAAGTCTTTACCGTGTTCCTACAGGACTCCATCATGAATGCCTGTCACCGCGGCTGTCGGCTCTACTCCATCTGCCAGTTCGTGAATGGAAATACAGGCATCAATACCAGCAAAGAAGAGTGCCAGGGAGGTATGACCTATTTTGATCAGTTTTGGGAAGTAGCTAGCTAGCTAACTAAAATTAGAAATGCTACTAACTTAACTACATCAAACATGCTTACCTAAACAGTGAAGAGTTGGAAAGCCTGATTCATTCTAGTGAGTCAGTTTGTCCTAAATGATCCAAATCATTCTAATGAATCGGTTCATTCAGACAGTTCATGTAAATTAACAGATTTTAAAAACGATTTACTGATTCGACTCCATGCACAATGATTTGGACTCAGTTATGTAAATTAGTTTTGTTGTGTACATTTAATGTAAATTTACCTGTGCAAGTTTGATATGATCAGTCTAACTGAGGATGATTAATTCAAAACCCTTTACGTTTTTGTGCTAGCTAAACTTCAGTATCTTTTGCTACTTTTTGTAAGCAACTTGTAGCTAACTACTTTAATATAACTCCGATTGCATTCGTCTGAAAGAAGAAAGTCATATACACCTAGGATGGCTTGAGGGTGAGTAAATCATGGGGTCATTTTCATTTTTGGGTGAACTATCCCTTTAAGTCCTGTTTTTCTGAGCAAAATTTCTTGAAATAATATCATAATTACGATTTCAGCGCTTGTAGATACAAACTTCCCAAGAGCACTTGAACGCAGTTCAATGGCACAGTCACATTTCTGAACGTTTGTGGGCAAAAAAGGTCAACTGTCTATCGTCAACAGTGTAGTAATGTATGAAAAACAGCCTATCCACTATCCAACCAAGCTGCTTTTTGTTGATCAGTG